GCTCTTTTTGCACTACAAATCATTATATCTGCACTGTTGTTTACTTCACTGGTTTGCACTCTATCTGCCATGTGCCGTGTGCTGCTTTATATATATTTTTTTATATATTTTTTTACATTTGACCTTATTTGTATATTTGTATAGTTGTATTTTATACTTAATCTGCATATCTGTATTTATGTTCTACTGTTAGTGTTATCTGTATGCACCAAGGGTCTGAGAGTAACGCAATTTCAATTCTCTGTGTGTATGTGCTGTACATGTATAAGAATTGAAAATAAAGCAGACTTGACTTGACTTGACTTGTTTGGACTCTCATTCTGACGGCACCCATTCACTGCAGAGCATCCATTGCTGAGCAAGTGATGAAATGCTACATTTCTCCAAATCTGTTCTGATGAAGAAACAAACTCATTAACATCTTCGATGGCCTGAGGGTGAGCACATTTTCAGCAAATGTTCATTTTATTGAGGAGGACTTTGCCTAAACAGAAGACATGCAAATCTAGAAGACCTGCTGTACCTGTTAATAAGGTTTAAAGGACACCATTTGTCCACTTTGTCTGCATGTACAGTAAACTGAAGTTGTTAACTCTCTAACGCTCTGTATTTGTGTGTTTCTGGTACCAGGTGACCACAGACCTGCGTCAGAGATGTACCGAAGGACACACAGGCACCTCCGTGTCTGCACCCATGGTGGCGGGTGTCATCGCTCTCGCTCTGGAGGCAAAGTCAGTTTTCCGCTCCTCTACATCACTTTCCACAATTTTGACATTATTTCCCCATAAAACAGATGCAGAAACTGCTTCTTTATATTCAATTTTGATATTTAATATTTAATTTTTTATTGGCTTGAAGAGACAATTCTGTCATCATTTACTCACCCTTATGTTGTTCTAAACCTGTTTAAGAAGATATTTTGAAAAAATTTGTTTTTTGCCCATGATGTAGTGCTTTGTACAATACAGATTGTATCAAAGCAGCTTCAAAGTACAAAACAGAGAAATAACAGAATCATTGATGCAAACTTTTTCAAATATGAGACAAATTGATTCATTTCTGCTGTAAAGTAGCTCTAAAAAGACAGTAGTGTCATTTTTCAGCTCCAGTCAGTTCAGCATTGATTCAATTCAGTTTTGTAATCGTGTCGATGTGGCATTTGTCAAATTTGAAACAAATTCGATTCAGCAGTAAAGCAGCTCTATAGAAGACAATAGTATCATCATCATCCAGCTCAATTCAGATCAAGTTGTGTTCTCATCCAATGCAGTCAAGTCAGTAATATAACTGAATATTGAGTGTCTTTTAAAATGTGTGCATTGACATTTGGAATAAATGATGACAGGATTTTCCTTTTTAAGTCAACTATCTCTTTAAATTTACTTACTGTTGAACACTTGCACTTCATAATCACTCCTCAGTTCTTCTGCAATGTGACACATCAGCCTGCCTGAATTTATTGTATGCATCTTTGATCATGACATTTAAAAACAAAAGGCTTTCGCTTAAATGCTTCAAATTAAGTGCGTAGACAAATATATTACTGTTGTTATTATGACAGCCTAGCAACTGTCTTGCAACATTTACATTGATTTACATGGAAGGAAGGAATCACTTTTCATGTTTATTTTAAATTCAGCTTTTTTAATAAACCTTTTTTTTCCATCAGTAAAACAAAATATTAAGGAAATCAAAATTGAATTAATCTTGCTTTCTGTCTGAGATTCTCTGCTTGTAAAGGCTTTTAGGACTGTAATTCAATTTAGCGTAATCATGTATGTGTATATTGTGGTTTCAGCTCTCGAAACTAAATTATATTTACATTTGAGGCATGATGTGTGTATTTTATATTGTTGACCAAAACTTCATGTAATGTTAGCCACAGACTGAAAACCACTAATCTATTTAAGCAGTATCACACAAGCAGGAGTACTGCTGTTGAACTTACTGACGTGATCTTTCCACGTATTTGTCTGTGCGTGAGACTCATGACAGCAGAAGTGGAATAAAGCGACGTGTAGCATAGAGAGCTGCTTGGATGCAGTTGTTGCACTAAATTGAATTAGTGTCCCAAAAGCCCCTACAAACGGAGCCTCTCAGATGGGAAGCAAACCAGAATTGTAATTCAATTCCCAAAACCAAATAAACTAGCTGTTGTTCTACAGAGAACAGTTCTCTCTTTTCTTTCTCATGTTATCTTTCAGTCCTCTGATAACCTGGAGAGATGTCCAGCATCTCTTCGTGAAGACGTCGAGACAAGCTCACCTGAAAGCCAGTGACTGGAAAACCAATGCAGCCGGACACAAAGGTGAACAGAATGGAAATGACTTTTCTGCATGATATTTACACAGTTTAAAATGTAGATGTGTGGTGTATTATAATTTATTATGATTATTATTTGTCACTCATAATGTAATAAAGTGGACTCATATGATCAGCTTGATTTTATATGGCACATTTCTGACACATATGTCAAAACGCATGGTAATATCTTGGTACTCTTTAGTATTTTTTTATTTTTAGTGGAATAGAACATCAAGTCATGTTTTTTGGGAATGCATGAGAGTGATTCCCTAATTTACAAGGCAAAAAAATTATATATTTTTTTATTCCAAATTTTTATCTTGTTTTCCAATAGAATATACAATTTCCCATAAACCAACATTAATTTATTTAAGATAAAGATAATAAGACTTAAAGAGATAGTTCACCCAAAAATGAAAATTCGGTCATCATTTACTCACCCTCAAGTGGTTCCAAACCTGTACGAGTTTCTTTCTTCTGTTGAACACAAAAATATTAAGCAAAAAATGAGCACAAAATATTTGAAATTTTGGTAACCAGACAGTTGACGGTAGTCATTGACTTCCATAGTATGGGAAAAATATACTATGGAAGTCAATGACTCAGCGGAAGAAGGAAACTCATAGTTTTGGAACAACTTGAGATTCAGCAGATGATTTGGGTGAATGTATCTTTAATATCTTTAATATTATGTTCATTTTTCCTTCTTCGTTGGCAAATTGTGCAAGGATAAACTTAGTTAAAAATGTTGAAAAAGCTGTGCCAGTAGCTTAAGAAAAGTCAACTTAATTTAAGATATATTCTCTGAAAACAAACCCTACATTTTCAGAAATCTGATTAAGTGTATTTATGTAAAATAAAAATTTAAAATTAATTCTTCATAACATATCAGCAATATCTGCCCTGGACTCTAGATATCAACAACAGCATTAAAACCCCATATTGGTGACACTATTAGTAAATACTATTTCAGCATGAATGTCATCTAAATAAGTTCAGATAGTCTTATTTAAGTCTGGACATTCTGCTGTCTGTGACATCCTTACCTGTTTAACATTTGGTGTGTGTGTGTGTGGTTCTAGTCAGTCATCTGTATGGCTTTGGTTTGGTGGATGCCGAGGCCATGGTGGTGGAAGCCAAGAAGTGGAGAAACGTTCCTCCTCAGCACACCTGCAGCAAAACCTCTGACCGCAGAACCCGGTGAGGAGAAACTCACTTCAGCTTTCACACGGACAAATATAACTCGCTTCTACTCAGTATTTTACTGAAATACTTTGAAAGAAATTAATACTTACAGTATATCCATCAAGGATGCATTAAATTAATCAAAAGTGACATTAACAACATTTAAATGTTCCAAAAAAGGTATCTTGTTTTCCAGTACAAATGTTGAAATACCCATAAACCAATATAAATTTACTTGAAGTTTTTATCAACTGTTTATTTATAAGGCACAACTGTTTTCAACATCGAAGACTGGAGTAATGATGCTGAAAATTCAGCTTTGCGTCACAGGAATAAATTACATTTTAAAACATATTCAAATAGAAAACAGTTATTTTAAATTGTAATAATATTTTAAAATTGTTCTAGTTTTTACTGTATTTTTGATCAAATAAATGCAGCCTTGGGGAGCAGAAGATAATATATATCTATCCATCCATTCATCTGAATATTCCAGTGAATTAAATACTTTACAAATGAAAGGTGCTGCATCTCATTTGATTATTTTCTCCTTCGATTTGTGCAAACTTAAAGGCGATTGCACATGACCAGGTCTTCTGCGGGTCTTAAAAAGTCTTAGACTTCATATCTGGTCGTTTTGCTTCTAAATGCATCTTGATTTAAGAAACTTTTTGTACTGGAAAACAAGGCAAAAATACTGAAGAAGAATATATTTTTTGCAGTGTGATCAGAAGATACAGAAATAGTTATTTCCATATTCTAGTTAAATGTTATGAATGAAAGCATAATGGAGATCTGCTGAAAGTTGTATTTTCAATTTGTTGCTAATCCAACTCATTTTCTGCTCTCTAGACGTTTACATTTAGAGAATATATTGACGTATTGTGTTTCCTTCAATTTGGTCCTTACATTTTCCTTACTTGGATCTTCATAAAACCTTGAAGGTCCAAGTGGTCCAGAAACCCAAATGGACGATCCATCACAAATGCTATAAAACCTGCATTAAAAACAAAAGACTCCATGTTATGAAACTGTATATATGCTATCATACCACCCATCACAGTTACTGTCTCATCTCATTCGTTTAAAACACCTTTAATAATGTGGAAAACATCCCGAATCTATTGATCCGTTTCCAGACGCCCATCCTCACATGTGACCCTATTGAATCTGGACGTCTCTGCAACAAATCCTGCTTTTTAATTTCCAGCAATGTCTGATTCTGATGGGAATAATTGGAGGCATTTATTTCCATCAGCAGGGCAGGGGTGGGAACTGGAGCATGTCTAAGCGTTATTAGCTCATAATGTGAATCATCATCGGGTCTCGAGAGGGATGGCGTGTCGCGCGCTGCTTTGAAGAGCGACGTACAATCAGCAGACGTGTCGAGATGAATCACTTGCGCATTCAGTACAACACTTCAATTCTCAATTCAAATCCCCTCGATATAACCTCTAAGAGCTCTGAATTACTGAGATATTGTGGCAAGCTACTAGGCCTTATGACAAAGTGTCCATATTTCCAGGAGTATCTCAATTTGTCTGCTGTGCCGCAGTGCTGTTGGATATTGAGCAGACACTTCCTGCATACAAAGGAAGTAGGAGATGTTGCAAAACATTCTTAATTTTTGTTTGATCCAGCACCGTTTGTATGACAGTTTAGAGGAGTAACTAACTAAAAGTAGTGACACTGTATATTAGCATTTTTTTAAAGGGGTCGTGAACGGAGAAATTAAAATTCCCTTGATCTTTTGACATATAAGAGGTCATTGTACTATAAAAACATCCTGTAAGTTTCAGAACTCAAAACTTTCTTGTTAGTCTAAAAACAGCTTATATTGAAGTCAATCTGCCAAAACGACGGGTTGTGGAATGTGCCACTTTATGACGTAATAATGAGGCTAAACCCCGCCTCAACAGAATAAGATCAACGCCTGCTTCTACATCACTGCCTGTTTAGCCCCGCCCACCGATTCACACATGTAGTGTAAATAATGAGAGAGGCAAACGCAGGTCTATGCAGAAACCAAACGATAAAGATGCTCCGAAGACAACAAGACGCTGTGGAAAATCATGTGGCTGTGACAGCGCTGTGGCTGTCAATCATCAGAATCAGAATCAGAATGAGCTTTATTGCCAGGTATGTTTACACAGGAGAGGACGCAACCCTGGGGGGCGCCAGTGCTGATCTTACAGGTGCTGGATGTGTATTTTCCCAGCCTCACTAGCTGCTGCCTGTCTGTCAGGAAGCTGTTGATCCACTGACAGACGGAGATGGGCACGGAGAGCTGAGATAGTTTGGGCAGGAGGAGGTTTG